CACTTCATGGGTGTACTGTTTACTTAAAAATAATGTACCACGAAATTTAAATAAAAATTATTCCATGTAGTTGGATCTATACTCCCAAAAATTAAATTTGCATTTAGTATATGGAGGAACACCTATTCAATTATAACTATTTTATAGAAAAACCAAAAAAACCAAACCTAAGGTAAATCAGGATTCAAACTTATGGGTTAAATATTTCAATTACCTAAGTATATGCCATTATTTGAAAAGAACAGCCAAAGTTTAGAAGCTTGAAAGATAAACTCTTTCATCCTAAAAACTCTTTTTCCAACCATGTGAAAGACTGGTACAATCATACACTTTTCTACCTGGGATAACTCAACTTCCATGTTCTACTTGTTCTAACAGGAAACCATGCTCTGAAACCCCCAATCTGGGATCTCCTTTATCTAAAAGAATGTTCCAGCTTGCCCGCTGAGGGCCTGTGCCTCAGACCCAGTAGGAATTTTCTAGCAAGAACTATTGACATTATTCCTTTTTGCTATTCCTCAACTGAATAGATTGGAAAATTTCTGAAATTCTGAAGCAATCTAAAATCTTTTCCAATCCAAATCTTGACACCCCCACCACACCCATCTTTACTTTCTCTTTGCCAGGGAGAACAGGGTAATCCTACTGCAGTGAAGTTCTTATCCATGTCAAAATGCAAAAAGAAGTATGCTTTCAATACCCCAGAATGACAAAACATAACTTAATGTAGACATAATGCTAATGATAAAAACATGTAGCATGTAAAATATTAAGTGGACTGACGAGCTATTTTGAGAAGTCAATATTATTTCTACTGAGAAACATAAAAACACAAACACACTCTAAAGTAAACTCTTCACAAGTTACAGGCTATCAAAACCAGTATATCCATTATATCCAATAGAAACAGAATTCAGTTACATTTGTAACTTTTCAGTTTTTTAGTAGCAACATCAAAAAAGTAAAAATGAAAGGTAAAATTAACTATTTTATTTAACCCACTATATCCAATGCTATCTTATCATATAATCAGTCAATATTAATAACATATTTTACATTCATATGTTATAAAAAGTTCTTGAATTTCAATGTGCATTCTACATTTCAATTTGGACCAGGGACAGGTCAAGCACTCAATAGCCACGTGCTGCTAGTGGCTTCTACATTGTTTTCCATAAACTAACTCAAATGTCTTTAGAAAGGGATTGACAGTAACTGATGACAGGTATGTACTTTTTATCAAATACAGTAAATAAATGCAGTAAGATAAATCAAGAGTTTTGTTAATAGTCAAACTTTTTAGTATGTAAATCATGTAGTTAATTAATATGTACACCGAGGTTTTCACAATAATCAGTCTTTTAAGAATTCAAGTGAATAGTGGGATAGTGGTAACAGATTCATAGGGGTGTGGGCCTAAACTTCTAAAATACATACAGTATTGTAAAATAACATTATCTCAATAAACATAATTTTTTAGATTCAAATGTAGTACACATTTCACCTAAAAATTATTAAAACAAACCAAAATTCTGGGAGTAAAGACAACTCCCAGTTGTGACTTACTACTCCTAGAATATTACTTAAGAGTGGTGAGTCACAATACCACCAAGCAGGCCCCAAGTAGCTGAATTCTAAATCAGCAACAGAGAAAATTCAGGAGTAAATTGTCAATGTATTATTAAAATTCTTCAAAAAGGCTCAGAAACTGACAGTGCCAGACTTGCCAGGTTTCTCCATTGTAAGGTGATTATTCCCCTTTCTACTTCCTATTCTCTGGATGCAAGTTAGACAGGGAGGATTAAACTCCACCTTCTGGTAAAGGAAATATCTGAATTTAACAATGGAAATTATTCTTTAATTTTTTTCCATTTATTCACAGAATTTTAGTATTCTCTCTTATTCTCCTGGTCATCATCAGGCTGTTTTTGATTTTAATTTCCTACCCCCCAAGTTTTAGTAGAATTTCAACGAAGTTCCAAAAGAATGTTCAATTTGTTCTATCAATCTGGGTATTTGTTTGAACCTCTTTCTAAGAGGTACATATATAGCTAACTAATTATTTTAACTGGATACTCAGTAAAATAATCAACCATTTCCTACTGACAGACACTTAAAGCTATTTTCTAATTGAATATTCTTGACCATACTGTATTTGTTGACCTGTGTATACACTGAGACAAGGTTATACACATTTTACCTAAGTTATTTTAAGTAAGTAATTTAATCTCTGAGTATTACTCTTTCTGCAGAAGGTTGCTGTGAAGATTTTATGAGCTAACATGTATGAGTCCACTGTATTTTTATATAGTAACATAACACATTGACACCAAAATTGGTAGTAAAATTTATAAAACCACCCTCCAAAATAAAATATACATCTATAAATCTAACAAAATATGTATAGAACATGAATGTTGAAAACTATTCAGCACTGGTCCATAAAATTAAAATTTAAATAAAAAGGAGAAACAACAGAGACTAAAAGACTCAACAGAATGAAGATGTCAAACTCTCCCCAAACTGATATACAGACACCATAACTCCTATTAAATCTCCAGTAAGATTTTTTTGTAGATATAGACAAAATGATTCTAGAAAGGCAAAGGAACTATAACAGCTATTTCTTAAACAACTTTGGAAAAAATTATATGGGAACAATAATTATAACTGATCTCAAGATTAATTAGGCAAAACAATGAATTTTAATCTTAGTCTTACATTGCGCGGTAAGGATTAACTCAGCTTATTTGAGTTTTGCAGACCCTGTACATTCCAGGAACGATCTGGTCCTTGTTTGAGTCTCAGGGGTAGCCTCTAATCCTTTGGAAATCCTGTCTAATAAAGAGTGTCATTTTTTATCTGGGGATATTAGGTCCCATCGTATAGTGTATGCTAATAATGTGATTTATGGAGGGGTCCTTGAATGATGTGTGATAAACTTGATCTCTCAGGAGTTAAGAGAGTAAAGTCATCCATGGAGACAGTTAGCCATGTCAACATAACTATCCCATAATAAAAATGCTGGCCACCAAGGCTCAAGTGACCTTTTCTGGTTAGCAATACTCTATATTTGCAGTAATACATCATCAGTGGGGCTATCAACTGGCCAAACAACTCCACTGGGAAAGAACAGTCATAAGTATGGGGATGGTGTCCCCTAGATTCTGCCCTTTGCTTCTTTTTCAATAATTTCATTTGTTTCCTTTTGCTATAATAAACCATAACTGTTGGTATAACTGGTATAACTGAGTCCTGTGATTCCTTCTAGCAAATCATTAAGCCTAACAATGGTCTTAGGGATGCCAGAATATACACACTTTATTAAAAAATTATCTCACAAAGGATCCTGGATTTAAATGCATAAAACATGAAATGAAAGTGTTAGGAAAAAAATGAGAGAAAATTTTCAAGCTCTTAAGTCTCAGTAATGACTTCTTAGATTTGACCTCCAAAAGCATGACATACATAAAGGAAAACGAATACAATGAACTTCATAAAATTTAAGATTTTTGCTCTACAATAAATACTATTGGGAGTATGAAAACATAAACTACAAAATGAAAGAAAATATTTGCAGATCACAGAGCCAACAAAGAATTAGCATCTAAAATATACAAAGAACTCTCAAAACTCAACAGTAGAAAAGGAAATCATCCAGCTACAACATGGACAAATGACATGAAGAGACATTTCACCTAAGAAAGAGGATGACAAGTAAGCATGTGGAAAAAAATGTTGAATATTATTAGACTTTAAGGAAATGAAAATTCAAATGCTATCAGAAAGGCTAAAATTTAAAATCACCAAATGCTGGCAAGGATGAAGAGAAAACTGGATCTCTCATCTTGATCCATCTCCATTGTTGATAAAAATGGAAGAGTTGTTGTGCAAAAGAGTGAAAATGTCTTTAAAAACTAAACATGCAACTACCAAAGGACCGTCATTCACCCTGGGCATTTATTTACCCCAGAGAAATGAAGACAAATGTTAACACCAAAACGTCTACAAGATATTTATAGCAGCTTTATTCTAAATAGTAAAAAACTAGGTAAAATTCAAATGTCTTTCAATGGGCTAAGTAAATGGTTAAGCAAAATGCAGTCGATCCAATACCTCCACAATCGAGTACTACTCATTAAAAGAAAGACATAAACTACTGATGCATGCAACAACTTGGATGAAGCTCTAGGGAATAAAACCAATTCCAAAGGGCTGCATACTATTTGAATCCCTTTATAAAACATTCTTAAAATTTTAAGAATTACAAAGTTATAAAAATGGAGAATAGATGTGGTTTTCAAGAGTTAAGGGGGAGGGAGGGAAGAAGACAAGACATGGGCATGAGGTATACTGCCCTGACAGAAATGTTCCGGGCATAGTATATAAAACTGTAGTTTTTGCAAGATATTACCAAGGGGTAGAGAGACCAATAAAGGGTATACAGATTCTCTTAAAATTGCAAGTGAATCTACAATTATCTCATAATAAGAACTTTAAAGAAATAAATGGGGCCTCCCTGGTGGCGCAGCGGTTGAGCACTGGGTTGCGAAGCTGCCCGCAGACTCTGCAGCGCCGGTTCGATCCCCGGCTGCTCCCCGGCCACCAGAGGAGGGTCCCACATGGCGCGCAGACCCCTCCTGCGGCCCGCTGCTCCCCTCAGCAGTGTACTTCGGTCCTTCTGCCTGTTCTGCTCCCCGCTCTGGCTCTGGTGAGTTCTCTCACCCTCCCGCGCTTCTGACTGTACCCAGTGCTTGTATAAATAAATAAAAATAAATCTTTAAAAAAAAAAATAAATAAATAAAAATAAAGAAATAAATGAAGGAAAATCAAATGTGATCAGAAAGGCAGTTTCACTTGACATATAGCAACACTGAATATTATTTATTCACTGCTTTATAATTTTTTCATTTGGAGCAATAAACACAGTCCCCTTAAATGTTGTCAGTCACAACCATTCTCTAAAGATTCATATCCAGACATGAAGAATTTTGACTCACCTTCCACACTGTCAGAACAAGAAGTTCCAATGCCAGTGTCTCCACTGTCAGAAGCTATACTATGTCTCCTGATATGATTATTTCGATGATTGGATGCAACAGTTGTGGCCTGCCACAAAGATTCATTGCCAGGTAACCATGCTGATGAAGAATAATCTGGGCCTAAAAAGGAAAACAGAAAAGTTAAAAGTTAGAAATCTTTCTTGAACTTGTGAAAATACATACACAAACAAAAGAATTCAATGCAGATTAGTGGCTTCCTTTAGCTGAAAACCTCTTGTTTTTCTGCTTCTGGGTCTTGAACACACATTGCTGTCTTATTTAAAATGTCAAATCTACATCTATCTGGAAATGTCAGAACTCTGTCCTGGAATATTTGATAGGCAGACATTTGAGATTCCATGTAGAGGCATTAACAGAGAATTGAGGCTCAGGGAAACGCTAATAGAATCTATTGCAAGGCATAATGAATAGATTGCGTTCAAGGAAGATCAAAAGACCTGCTTTTTTCTCTACTGTACCCTAATCACTGAAATTGTTTAATTATTTTAAGTTGTTCTAATTGATTTTTTTTTTAGTTATCTTATTAAAGTTGAACAGCACAGAATCTTTCTCTTAGTTCAATTATTCCTTTTGAGTTACATTAGACCCTCCTTTTTCAGCTAATACATATTTTTCAATATTCTCAATATTTTCACTTATCTTGTCCATTTTTACTTAATTTTTATTTGCCCTTTTCTGATTTATCCAGCATTTTACTTTTTTTCTTACTTCATTCTTTTATTGTCTACTAAAGGCTACTCAAAGCACATATCCATGGACCAGTGCTAGTCTGTGTATTATTATTAGTTCATAAGAACTAGGTGCAGAAACATAGAATTAGCATTTAGAAATTTTTACAGTACAGTTCGAAAGAACAATTTTAAATCTTGAATTCTATATAAAAGTTTAAGAAGCACATATTTTAATTGCTGTTGATCACAGTGATTTTCAGATTAGCTCCTATAGATTATTTGTCAGAGTTAACAAGTTCTGTGCAAGAATTTTGGGGCTTTCACTTCAATGACATTCTTACAATATTAATAAGTACATGTTACTTATCTGATTACTCCATGTTGCTGTATCAATATAACTATATTAAAACAGATTATTATATAATTTCTATGTCCCACTTACATTTTGTAAGCAAATTGCAATTCCTTCTAAGTAAAGAGGAAATGACTGACTTACTAGGCACTTACCACCATGTGAATCAAGACAGTTTTATAGAATTATCACAACTCCTGTTGAAAATGGCATGCAAGTAGTGCTGTCAGCACTTTAAATATAAGGTTCACAAAATTACAGATATGTGCATACAATCAAGGACATCATTTTACCACTTTTAGGAACAGCCATTCCCTATAGTAATATTAAAATCAAAATAATTAAGCATGCTAACAATATAACCAGACCTGAAGCTATAAATCCCAACATTAAAGGTTTCATTTTAATAAAACATTATGGCACATTAGCATTATTTTGAATCATTTATGTATAATTTATAAATTAAATTTCTGTGGGTTTTATAGCTATCTTATACATGTATAGACATATACATTTAACTTAACTCAAGATTAAAATATATTGGTCAAAGCTATCCTCCTACCAGCTTGGAGAATGAAATCAACCACTTAAAACTTTGCAGGTTCTAAGACTCTCTCAGAATGTAACTTACCTTAATTCAGCTGAATAAACACTCACCCAGAAACACCAGGTAAAGTAAGTAAAATAAAACTTCTTGTTTATAGATAATATACTATTTTGAGCAGTACACAGATTTACTTCACCCTTATCTCCACCCCATTTACTGAATGCTCAAGAATAACTTACTAAAAAAAATATTTCTCACACTGGAAATACAGGAAGTATAACATCATATAAATAAGCAATCTATTTTTTCCTGGAGTTTTTTTTTTTAACTGGAAGTAAGAAATGCATACAATATCATCTTTCACAAAATATTAATGGATCTGTACTTACACCTAGAAAACTAACTAATTTTACTTAATTTTTAATGACAACTCTAAGCCAGAAGAAAATAAAAATAACATCAACAAAACAGATCTATACTTTTATATAAAACAATGAATATATAATACAAATCATAAGTACAAATTAGTGTTTTTAATGCAAATCAACACTCAAGTGGATTAAAACCAACTTTTTATATAAAATAGAACACAATGAAAATAAATAAAGGTGTATTTACCCTTACAGAAGCTGGACCAGATCTCTACTTTAAAATCTCTGAGGTGGGAACAAGTACAAAGTACTTTAGATCAAAGTTCACACAGTGGCCTTTCACTGCCCCAAATCTACTTATGAATAGAAACCAACACACAATTATGTTAAAAAGTAATAAATCCAGAGACTATAACAAAATAAATTCTTTCTCTTACCTCCCATACATCTAAATTAGTTCCTGAGCCTCTTCAGTTCTTTTCACAAGTATTAACTTGGGGTGTTTTTCTCCATTCCCATCTTCTCGGAGCCTATCTTTTGGCTGGACTGCTACAAGATCTGCTACTGAAGAAACTCCACCAGAGCTAGCCCTGACCTACTGTAACAGTGTAATCCCCAGGGAAAGGGGAGCTCCAGGTTCCTGCCTGAGCCAAGCAAGGGTGGAGTCAAAAAGGACCTGGGAGAGAAGACCTGGAGGAGGCACGCGGAACAGGGAGACATGTTAAGAAGCCATGCTCCCTCCTCCACCCTGGACTTGTACTAGAGACATGGGGGACATGGAAGGAGACACTTGAAAGAGTTGTGAGAGACCTGAGGGGAGGCTGACAATGGCAGCTTTTATCTTGACTTGTATTTTGATTTTGTCTTTTCCTTCTAGACTTGCCAGTCCCCTTCTGCTCCTTTCTTTTGGCTCCCGGCCAGAAGGTGCTTTAGACTTGTGGCAGGCTTTCAGGCCTCAGTGGCCCCACTTTGGGCCAACCCTGTTTGGTTGGGCATTTACCCACAAGGGGATGAGTGGCCTGGGGTGCTTCACTGAAAACCATATTCTTTCTCTTCTCTCTATTGCACACTAATTCTATTAAAGTTCTTTTCTACTGAAGATCTTATGCACTAAGAGTATGCTTTGTCTTTATGTGGCAGATGGCAGAACCCATTTAGAACATGCAGCTTTGGGGAGGGCCCTAGGGTGCTGCTCCTCATTCTGCCCACTAACACTAGTATCAGAATTATCGTCTCATAATAAAATATAATTAACATCATTATATTTACACAGTTGTATAGGTTCCTTACAGGATATTATGTAATACTCATAACACCTTAAGTTTGGCAATTATTTATCATTTAGCAGTCTCATTTTCTAATACTTTGTAATCCCTAGCCTTCCCCATTCTGGCTCTCCTACAAACACTAGCACATATATCTAAACACTGCCTCCTACTTGATCAGGTTCTTTCATGAATCCAAGCTACTTTCCTTCTCTATGAGTTCCAGCTCAGAATTAACTTGATCTAAATATTTTCTCTCATTCCTCAAAATGGTATCAAACAAAAGCAACTTTATGCTCTCCCAACATATCTGTGAAAATTCCCTAACAACATAAATTATATGAACCCCTATGTATATAAATTTCTTCTCACGCGAAGCTGGGAACAGTGAAAGAATTTTTTTAAAACTCTCTAGCACAGAGCTACTCAGTTAAACAGGGTTTCAATAAATGTAGTCACTATTACCACCGGATACCCAATAAATGCTCATGTAATAAAATTAGCATTTTGGAAACCTTATAATTAGATCTAAAAAATGCTCTTCCCTTTAGAGGAAGGATTAAGGGCTTCCCCAGTGGCACAGCAGTTGAGACCTGGGCTGTGAAGCTGCCTGCAGCCTCTGCAGCACCAGTTCGATCCCTGGCCGCCGGGCGAGGGTCCTACATGGTGCACAGCCTCTCCTGCTGTCACTGCTCCCCTCAGCAGTGTACTTTGGTCCTTCTGCCTGTTCTGCTCCCTGCTCTGGCTCTGGTGAATTCTCTCACCCTCCCGTGCTTTTGACTGTACCCAGTGCTTCTATAAATAAATAAATAAATCTTAAAGGAAAAAAAAAAAAAAGTAGAGGAAGGATTAAAACAGGGTTTTGTTTATTGGGGTTTTGTCTGTTTGTCTGTTTGTTTGTTGGTAGTGGTGGTCTATTTTAAAACCCAGGAAATTTTTAAACTACCCCTTCAGACAGACTGCATTTAAGTATCTATTTAAAAATAAGTATATAGTTTTCAAAGTAGCTTAAAAATATGATTAGAGTGGGTCCTTTGTCTTCTAGGGAAAGAATTCAAAAAAGAGTGCTAGTTGTAACTGAACCCGACAAGTCCCAAATACAGACTCACACATGAAGGAGTCAGTTTGAGAAAGAAGAATGTAACTTCCCGAAGGGAGTCAGGAGATACTTAAAGGATAGTAAGTCCAAGAGGCAGGTAAGCGAGCCTCATAGCTTGTTCTGGGTTGGGCTATACCAGGGCATGCTCAGATGAATTACATTCCGACTGCCAACGAGGGCTCTCAGTCTTCCTCCAGGAGACTGTGAGATAATCATTAGTCAGGATCTAATGCTTTGTCTTATCAAGGGACCTCATGGTCAGTGTAGTGGGCTGAACTGCTTGGATAGGACATGCCAGTCCATGATTTAGTCCACCTGTTCAAACAGGATATGAGATTAATATCCAAAATACATTAGAATTCATACCACATAATAGCAAAACTGAGGTATCCAATTAAAAATTGGACAGAAAAACTATATAGACATTTTTCTAAAGTCATATATGTGTCCAACAAACACATGAAAAGGTGGTCAATATCAGTGACTATCAGAGAAATGCAAACCAAAAGTAGAAGGAGCTATCACCTTACACTTGTTAGAATGGTTATTATCAACAAAAAACAAGTGTTGGTAAAGCTGTGAAGAAAATAAACCTTTGCATACTCTTGGTAGGAATTTAAAGCCAGCCTCGAACAACATGGGTTTGAATTGCTCAAGTCCACATGCCTGTATTTTCTTATAAACAGATGGGGCCAATCTTCCTATATCGATAATATAGTACAGCACTGTAAATGTGTTTTCTCTTGTAATTTCCTTAAGAATAATTTCTGTTCTCTGACTTACTTTATTGTAAT